CTAAGTTTGGGGGTAATTTTGAGTACCAACCTTTAAAGTACCAACCCTTAAATATGCAATATTACAATATTTTTTTATAGAGGCCTGAAAGCGTCTTTATATTGAAATACAATAAATTTTAATTTTTTGGAGTGAATGATTTTTGTAGTGTGGCCGTTTTATGATAAGGGATGATTTTTTAAAATTTTCATAATGTTTTTTTATTAGCCCAAAAATCTCACCTACTTTATTTTTAATTTTTCTTCAATGGAGAGGTACTAGCGGAACGTTCCCCTGGCACCTCTATCCAAAATTTGAATTTTTTTTGAAAAAAATAAAGGAGGCCCAAAAATGTGGCTTTGCACCCAAAATTAGCCCAAAATTTTAGTGTACTTGAATCATAAAAATTCAATTACGGAGGTTCCAGCGGAACGTATCTGAACACAGAAAATTATAAGGTATTAAAATAAGCTGCAACGCTTATTATTCTAATCCAATTTTGCTTATTTTAACATCAAAATGGATTAAAATAAGCAAAATTGGATTAAAATATAATAAGCGTTGCAGCTTATTTTAATGCCTTTTAATTTTCTGTGAAATTGTGATCATTCAAAAATAAAAAATCATTATAAAAAATTCCAAAATTTAAAAAAATTCATATCTTGTAAACGCAGTTTTGATAAAACAAAATTATGGAATCCCTTTTAGTTAGAGTATACTAAAAGGGAAAAAAAATTTTCATCCCAATCGAAAGTGTCAAAGTCCACTGTATGTTGGAATCCCCTTCATTTAGATATTATATATTTATTTATTGGATGTTGACTAAAATGCCTCTCTCGTTTATACACCAAAAAATATTGAGAGGTTTTTACGCTGGTGTTGTAGAATAATTTAAAATTTTTACACCAAGTTCTTTTATGTATATTTTGTGTTTTTATTTTGATGGTATTTGTTGAATGTAATGGCATGTCTCGAACAAAAATGCATACAAACATATATATATGAATACTTGCACAGCAAGTGCGGAAGTGGCATTGTCGATCCAATTGTAGATAGACTATAATATTTCATGACCTTTCTCGTGTTTGGCTTCGGTTCTATATAAATTACAATGGTTCGTTTAGGTATTCCAACTCGATAAAAGAAGAGAACCTTTATCGCATATCGCCTCGAGAGAAATTAACAATTTAAACACAGCACAAAGTAGAGAACCATGAAGACGAATGATATTGTTTAATTTACATAAGATATATATATATGTATAGACAAGGGATTTGCAAAGAGGTTCATTAAACATTTTTTTTTTTTTATATAGACACTCGGTACGATTCTTTTTTATATTGTTCACATATATATAAGCTGAATTAAACTACTTGGGTAAAAACAAACGAGACGAAAGGAAAAATAATCTTTTCAGCCTCTCTCTTTCTCTCACTCATTGACTTTGCTCGTGGAAAAGTACATTCACCTGTTTTCCAGCTTTATATGAAAGAGAATGAAATGGTCACAGTTATTAAAAATTTTATAAAACACTGCAATTCCCCTTTCCATTGCTCTCTTTTCATCTCATACAAAATTCCATACTGTTTCCTACCAAGTTACTATGACAACAAATATAAATGACATTATCTGCTTCAAAAATACTTTGCAATATTTTCTGGAGCATCATAACTTTTTCAAACTTTTTTAATAAAAGCTTTCCAGTTTCACGATATCATATATACTTTCCATTATCGCAAATGGAAATATAATTCTTTTTTGTTTCTTCTTTTTTTTTTTAAATGCAAAATGGAAAACCATGTCAAGAAATGTCCATCGAAAATTTAACACAATTTCTGTTTTTGAAACTTTTGTATGAGTGATTCTCTAGGAAACAGTTTCACTTTCTTTTTTTTAGCAATTTGAAAATTGTTATTTTAGAAATTTTGCAACTTTGTTGAGTCATTTTTCTGTTTTATGTTTTTTGATATAAAAAAATTATTGGAGCATTATTTTTTTTTAAACCATTAAAAAATTTTTAATTGCCTACCTTCGGAAAATGCACTTTTTGCAGTTCTTCTCATGGAAATTGACAAGATTAGGAATTTTTTTTTATTTATATAATATGTTTAGGGTAAAAGGTTCAGTGACCGACACCCTGACAGTAAACGACACCTGCTATCAAAAACGATAATAACTGTAAAAATAATAATATTGAATTAAATATCACTAGTAAATTAATTAATATACAATATTTATAGAAACTGATACAGTTGAAACTAAATTTTATATATGTTTATATTTTCCCCAATATTTTACTTTCTAGAAAAATTAACCTTACAAAAATTTGCTTCGTTGATGACAAATTGTATAAATATGAAACAATTGTTGAATAATTATAATTTAAAAGCAACTTTTTTTGTGTATTAAATCTGAATGATAAAATTCGTGATAATATTAATAAATATCATGTTACTTAAATAGTAGATATATTTTTTATTTTACTAAAGGGTGTCATTCATTGTTTTCATGCCATACATTTTTAAATTAATATTATATAAACTCTTATCAAAGTGTTTTTTAATTTTAAACTTATATGTACTATAAATTTTAACCCAAATCTTTTATTATTCTGTAACTAAATATTTAATAAATTTCGATAAAATGTCATTTAAAGTGGAAAGTATGCCCAGGGTGTCTGTCACTGTATCCGTTACTCTAAATTTTTTAAAATTTTACTACACTCAAAAAAAAAAAGATTTTGTGTTTGCAACAAAATTGTTTTGTTAGGCAATTTTGGTTCTTGTAACCAAATTTTGGTTGGCTAAAACAAAGTCTTAGAGTTACCTCAGTCAAATATTTAGTTAGGCCAACAAAATTAATTGGTTGAACCTTTTTTAAATTCCAACAAAAATTTGGTTACGACAACCAAATATAATTTGTTTAACCCCTTCGCAGTCGAGTTGAAAAATCGTTTGTGGGACCAAAACGGTCAAAAAAAAAGTTTCCAAAAAAAATTTTTATATCATCATATTAAAGGTTTTTGGAGTCGCTGAATCCGAATTTGAGGTCAGAATTAAAAAATTAAAAATGTCGGACCCAATATGGCGGAAAAAATTTCAAATTGATTTGATTCGTTCAAAATTCGGTACTCGGGGGTTTTTGGGGTCGCTGAATCCAAATTTAATGTCAGATTTTAAAAATTTTAAATGGCGGACCCAATATGACCACTCAATATAGCGGAAAAATTTTTAAATTGATTCGATTCGTTCAAAATTCGGTACTTGGGGGTTTTTTGGGTCGCTGAATCCAAATCTGACCTCAAATTTGAATTCAGCGACCCCAAAAACCCCCGACTACCAAATTTTGAACGAATCGAATCAATTTTAAATTTTTTCCGCCATATTGGGTTTGCCATTTTGAATTTTTTAATTCTGACCTCAAATTCGGATTCAGCGACCCCGAAAACCTTAGTGTATACACATTGACACTCACATTTAAATATGTTTAGTATTTTTTTGTCCAAAATCACAAAGGTGGCACAAATTTTTTTGGACATATATGGCCCATCGACAGTCAAGGGGTCAACACAACAAAATAGTTTTGTCTAAAAAACCAAATGATTGTTTGTTTTCCTAACAAAAATTTGGTAAATAAGTAGAACAGCACAATTCCTTCAACCCTTTTTTATCATTCCTCAAAATTTCAACCCGAAATTTCTTCTCATTTCCGAGAATACTTGGAACTACCAAAAAGTGACTTTGTCTCACATGGCCTTAAACGTTAAATTGATAATAAATAAATAATAAAATAAATAAAAAAGATAAAATGAAAAGAAATAAGGTATAATCAAATTTGTAATTTTACAAAAAAAATAACTGTTGGTTTGATCAACCAAACATTTTTGTTGACCTTACAAAAAAATTTGGTAAGCTAAATAACCATTTTTGTTATGCCAACAAAAACACTCAACCCAATTTTTTGATTGACTCAAACAAATAGTTTGGTTGCTTATAAATATACCAACAAAAAATTTTTTGTTGGTCCAACCAAATATTGGTTGCTCTCACTAAACTTTTTTTAGGTCTAATATATTTTCAGAAACTAATATTTTAATTACAGTAGAAGTAAAAAAACGATTTAACATTGAAAATTAATTACTTTTTGAAAATTTTAGGTGGTTTTTTTTTTTATTTTAGGAGATTTTAGGTTTATTTATTTATATAACTTTTAATCATTTTTAACTTATATATATAGAAGTAGAGAATTTTATTTATATATATAAAGAATCGCGTGAGAATTTATCATTTGAACGAATTCGAGGTCGAGATTAAACTTAAATTTTCCCTAGGGTCTCTATATATATATATACGGTGAATGGGATAAATAAGGACAGAAGCAGTAGCAGTACTTGCTTTATGGCGGTACTGCTCTTAGCCGCATTTCCCAAGTTAAATCTAGATTTGGCTTTCCCTTTCATTGCCTTCTTCTATTTTCTGTACCTTAAGCTTTTATATGGAAACGCGACCGAGATTCAAGATGTTATGCATAACTTCCTTTTTATCAAAACTATATTTCAATAGAGCAATTGAGTGTGCGTGTGAATAATGACGAAAGACCAGAACAATTTTACCAAAAATATGAGATTTAATTTAATTTTTATTGAATACTATAATTACTTTTTATATTATAAAATTATTCGAGAAATAATAGTTAATATTTTATTTTTTTAAAAATTATATTATACTATACAAAAGTTAATTTTTCCTAATTTTTTTTTTATTTTTTTATTTTATTAATACTTTTGGATATAATTTTTCAAAAATTTTTCAGTAATTTCCGTTCCAATATTATATTTTTAATAATAATAAATTTTACGAGAATTCACGTTTCGTTGGAAGTGAAATATTTTATAGAATATAAAAAAAAAGTGTAACATGAAAAAGTAATATATTTCAAAAAATATTTTATAGCTCATAAAATCAAAATATACTTTAACGGTGAATTTTTTTTTTTACTAACACTTTTTCGTTTGTTGGCAGAAGAATTGGACGGGCCAAACGCTGGAAGGATAAGGGACGCTTGGGTGATAGCAGTCGAAAGGTAATTAATAATAAGTAATAGTAATTCTTTAATAAGAATTCGTAATAATAATAATAATAATAATAATAATAATAAAACCTTTAAGAAATAATCGGACTGACAGTCAAAACAAAAGTTAGTCCAAGTTTAGATTTTCTTATTTTGAATACAAATAAATAATTATTTGATACAAGTAAAGTGTAAACATTTATTTGATATAAGTCAAGTAACCGATTTTTTGAATCAAATAAATTTTTTTCCCAGTGTAATAATTCAAAATGTTAAAAATTAATTTATTTGTACTTGCACTGACACACATTTAATGTCTAATTTTATTTTATTCGAGACGCATGATTATGTTCTAAAAATTGTTAGTTAAAATTTTCATTTTATGAAATTTCATTTGTCATAATTATTTTTGAGCCTAATTTTTATTTGTTCGAATTATTATTTGATATAATTTCCATATAACCGATTTTTCATACTATAGAATTTTTACTTAACCGAAAAATCATTTAACAGAATTTCTGATTAATATAATTTTCATTTATCCGAAATTGCAAACAAACAATTGACAGAAAGATTTCGGCGCGATTTTTAAAATCAACCAATCACAATTTTATGGATAATTTTTGTTTGCTTGATTTTAAAAATCGCGCCGAAATCTTTCTGTCCATTGTTTGTTTGGCCATTTGCAATTTCGGATAAATGAAACTTCTATCAATTAGAAATTCTGTTAAATGATTTTTCGTTTAAGTAAAAATTCTATATGCAATGAAATTCTACCCAATAAAAATTCTTTAAAATGCCTATTATGTTATATGAAAATTCAAACAAATAAAAATTCGAAGAAATAAAAATTCTGTGAAGTGAATTTTCGGTGATATAAAAATTTTCTAATATAGAAAATCGATTTGATGAAAATTCCGCAAAATACTAATAGGAACAAATAAAAATTCGGCTCAAAAATAATTATGACAAATGAAATTCCATAAAATGGAAATTCTAACTAATGATTTTTAGATTGTGTTGCGTCCCTTTTATTCAATGATTTCAAAATCGTGATTGTTCGTGATTGTTTGTCAAATTTATTCTTTAAATAATTTATTGAAAATTTTTTTACATTTTTCATTCGTTGACCTATTTTGATACAATTTATAAATTTTTTTTTTTCTAATGGAAATTTGTCCTTCAAATATATAAATACATGTATCTAGCGCAGAAATTTAGTATATTAAATTTTGATTAAAATTTAATTATTCAAGCATATATAGTTTCTTGAAAGAGTAATAACACTTTTAAAATTTCTTTTCAGAGGAGCGAGAGAACGGTTGCAGAAGTTGAGTGCTTTGAGAAGAATACAACCTCGGGATATTACAATACTCTACCAACAGGTATGTATATATATATGTGTGTGTGTGTGTAAAAAAAGAATTTCCGTTTAGCTAAAAGGAAATTTTCAACGTTTTCAAAATATTTTATAATTATACTTTTAACTCTGTTTATAATGATTTCCACAACTTTGGATAATTATTTTCTTTTTATTTTTTTTAACGATATTGTACATTTATAATATAATTAATTTTTTTTCGCACTTCTAAGAGTGAAATTTACACTAACTTTTTTTTTTTTTAATTTTCAATGAGAAGGAGATTTTATTTTATATATAAAAATATAATTAGTAACGAAATTAATATAAATTAATATAATTTATGATATTGTGTATTAATTATCAATTCAATATATTATTAATAATTAGGTACTGCATTAATTATAAATGATTTATTTTTTAATTACTGTGAAAAAATAATTTGAGAGTTAAAAAAATAATGCTTATTGACGCGAAATTATTTATTTACTATATACACTGAGAAAACGATATTTTTAGTTCAATCATATATTATATGTTTAATTCAAATTTAGTATATATTTCCTATACAGTCAAACATATATTTAAGTTAAATATTTTTTTTCCTGTTCCAAAGTGACAAAATTTATTGAAATAATTAAATATTTAAGTTTAATTCAATTATACGGATAATTTCACTTTGCAGGGAATGGTAGCTTTTTCTCAATACAGGGAGGGGGAACTAGAATAGAGAAAAGCAGGGTGAGTCAGGTGTCAAAAATAAAAAGATATGTCATATTTCGGACGTTCTACTATATTTCTAGTGGAAATTTACTTGCGTCTATTCTAAACTAGCCTTTAAGTTTAAATCAACCAAATTTTTATTAAAACTTCAAACAAATAATATTTTTCAATGAAAGTGACAGACATTTTTCATATATATTAAAATAAAACTTACAAACTATGTGTTAAATTAAACAAAAATCATTCAAACAGATTTCTATATTCAAAATTAATTCTTTTTTTTAAAGTGTAAAATATTTGAAATGTGACATTATATATTATTAAGTTTCTAGTGGAAAAATACTATATATATTCAAAACAAATTTTGCGATTTACATGGAAATAAGTTTTAGTTCGCATTGGCAATTGTTTTTCATATATATGACTCTTAAAAAAGTTTCCAATCACGAAAGTTTTTAATATTTTGGAAGACACCTCTCTCTTTCCCTCTTATATCCTTGACTGAACTGAAAGTTAAACGCAAAAAGTTCTCTCGTCTAGCGCGTGTGGTAAAAGATTATACGATGTCTGATAAGTTGCGAATCGATATTTTAACTATATATACGTACAGGAAGAAAAAAAAACATACTTTAATAATTATTTTCATAATTTCAACTTTTTTTAAAACTCGTTGATAGCTCTTTTATATACGATTACAATTAATACTGCTGTCAGTATAATAATAATATTAATATTAATTGGCTTGTTTTTAAAATTTTTAATAAAAATTTTTCAATTTTTTTTTAAATAAAAGGAAAAGTTGAAAGTTTTTTTTTTAAATCTGTTTTCAAAATAATCGACACCCAGAGAAAAAACAAATTTGCCTCGCCCTCCCCCCCTCCAATTAATTTTAGTTGTACGAAATAGAGATTTAAGCGAAGAAAAATTTCATGCAAGATTAAAATATGTCATTGAAATATTTCAATTTTTCATTGCAATGATATATAAATTTCATTGAAATATTTCAAAATCTTAACGCGCATGTTCCAACATATGCAAGGTTAGGTTACTCTTTCGAGCTTTAAGGCTAACGCACAATATATTCGCGAACGTCGTTTGCAAACTAGATCCATGAGATAGAAAAGATTACGAATATATTTCTGTCCTTTTCTAACGCATGTTTCACGTTTGCGAACGTCTTTCGCGAAGTTATTCTGCTTAGGCCTTTATTCTATTGTGAATTATTAAACAAATACAGTCACTTTTGTTTGTTTTTCAAAAATATTACTAAATTGATAAAAAAATTTGCTTGTAAAGGATGTTACAATTTTTTTTAACCAAATTGGAACCTTATATTATGTATTAATTTCAATGTTAAAAATTTGATAAATATTTTTAGGTTAAAAATGTAATAAATATTTTTAATGATTGAAATTAAAAATGTTATAAATACATTTTATTGCAGGAAGAGGAAAACTTATTCATAATAAAATAACATATTAAAAAAATGCGAAATGTATAATATAAAGTTAATTATAAAAAATGTATATTATTCTTCCCTTTTTATAAAATTTAGAAAGTTATTTATAATGTTCAATTTTGATATAGAGTTTGAAAATTAAGACAAAAATATTTTTTATACCTTTTTTTTTTAAAGAAAATTTTAATTTTTTAAAAGCTTTATAAATTAATTGAAAATAGAACTATTAACTGGCTAATTGCATTTTAAAATTTTATTTTTATTTATTTAAGTCAATAATAATAATAATAATACATTAGCAATAACAAAACTTAAAAATACCTTTATAATTATATGTAATTTAAATTATCCCTGTTACATCCCGGTAACAATTTTCCCTAATTTTTCTTATTCTTATCATTAAAATAAGACATTATATATAATTCTATAATAATTTTACAATACTTAAACTGTATGTCTTATTTTAATGTATTTATTTATGTATATATTGATAGGATAGAGTGTGGAAACGAAATTGATCTCAAAAGAGATATGACATTCGTTTTCACCATATAAGTTCAGAAAGTTGAAAAGCTAAAAATAGGATATATGTAAGCAAAATGTGTAGCAAGTTCGAGCTTGTTTGTTTATACACGTGAAGAATGTGAAGGTTGTGAAGATCCAAGTGTAATATGATCTTCAAAAACCCATTGTCAGCATATAAAAGAGAGAATTCAGAAAGAAGAAGATTCAATGTCATACATGCGATGTAGATCATTACCATATAAGGAAAGTGATTCTATTTATAGATCACCCCTTCCCCAATAATATGACATTTCTCCCACTAATTAGCATAATCGACTAGTATATAAACAAGAGCTTTTTCCATAAAGCTTGTCAAAAGTTCCGGTGCAATCTCTAACATCGTAGAGCGACCCTTCAGTTTACTTTCGCCCTAATTATTGTATTCTTTCCTGATAGCCAATAGGTGCAAGTTAAATTGACTTTTCACTTAGAACATAGTTCTTTCCTGATAGCCAATAGGTGCAAGAGAAGCAAATTAACACTTAGAATCAATAATTTAATAGAAATAACTGTCGTCTTTATAACTATAAATACTAAAGAAATCTTGCATTATCTCTTTTTCTAAATTTGTCAATTTAGTATATGTTGCTTCTCTTACACCTGCTATAAAATTCATTCCTATCAAAGGTGCGAGTGACGAGAGATAACAATAAAGAATATTGCAATTCTTTAAATAGTTATAAAACAATTTAAGTCGTTAAAGTTACACAAGTGCAACCAAAACGAACTATTTCAAATCAAATCAAAACCAATTATAACGACTAAGCTATAATCATCGATTTATCCGACTTCATTGCTAAAAGTAAGTAAAAGAATTGTAAACTTGTATCATTATTGTATAATCATTACTATATAATTATTATTTAATCAATAAATGTTATAAAAGGGAATATTTGACTTGTTATTGTAACGCAAAACCCGTAGTTTTGACAAGTGACCACGATCCTACATAAAAATAAATATCAGGCTTTACCAACCTGATTAATCAGCCTTATTACATTCAAGTAAATAAAATTCATTTTATTTAAAAACCACGCCTAGTTCGGAACGTAACAGCTGATTTGGTGGCAGCGGTGGGATTGTCACTTTTGTTGCAAAAACAATTTTACGAAAATTCTCAAATAATTCGGCATCTTTATTTAGAGCAAACTTCAAAATTTTTAAGGGTTCAAATTTATTCAAAATCAATTATATCACCCTTATAAACACATCATATTTCATTAAATGTTTATTCATATACTTCACTATAAACATTTGTAAACGGTCATTTTAAATTCTCTAGCAGTTTTGTTCTTACGCCGTCCGGCGAATTACAGAATTTGTTATATTTTCATTTTACGCCGTCCGGCGAACTTGAGAATTAGGGCGTTTAAAACCGACCGTTTAATAAATTCATAAAATCATTCAAAATCTTATTGAGTAAGCTATTTTTACGCCGTCCGGCGAACTATAGCTTTGAAAATTGGAGATCTACGCCGTCCGGCGAGGTTTTCATATCAATAAATTTTGATAATATCATTGTTTGGAATTTTGAGGTCTTAGCAGGGTCAATTTTACGCCGTCCGGCGAATTTTGACTTTGTATTCGACGTTTTACGCCGTTCGGCGAATTCTGTCTAAGCCCTTGGTTTACACAAACAATTGAAAAGAAGTCTCAATTTTTGATTTATTTGTAATATCAATTTTCTAAAATAACAATGTTATTTGTCAGATTAGATTATGCCAGATAAACCTAAAATTGATAGAAAACCCAGAAATAGAGGAGGAACAAACGCAAAAAGGCGATTTGATAAAACCGATAATCTTAATATAACAATTCTTCAAAATCAACAAGATTTTTCTACATTCTTCGATTTACTATTACATCAAACAGAACAATTAATATCCGTAAACAAGAATTAAAATAAAAAGGTTATAATAACATTCCTAATGTATTTTGTTTATTTTATTACATTCCTTGTATATGTAATGTTTTTCGCCATAGTTTGGTGGACAGTTTATTATTAAAAATTCGGCTAGTAACCACAAATGAATAATTACTTCTCAATTCTTGAATATAATCAACATAATTATCCTTACGTTGAATTAATCTCAGGTAATTTTAAATCACATAAAGGTAATTTTCTTATTGATCATACATTAACAATAAATTTGGTAAAAGAATCAGCAATATCATCGTTTGTATCTATAGATAAAAACGTCATAATAACAGCAAGACAAGGTGCAATTTGCACAAGTGGTAGTACATTAATAGAATTCAGCGATTTTTCTCTAAGATTT